GTTCTACCGGGTTCCGGGTGTAATTCCTAATCTCCGAGCGGAATTAGTACCCTCGCAGGCGCTCCGCGCCCGCTCGGGGATAATAAATCTGCTACTGATCTAAGCCAATCAGAATTTTTGATTTTTTATTAAATTTGCCACTGAGAAAGACGTACATTACATAATTTATACAAATAACTACTAAATTACCCTAGTAAATAAAATGGCAGGGTCACCACAACAGCGGCCCCAGAAGAATGACTATAAAGTGTTTACCCGTTGCATAATTTAGTTTTTATACAAAAATTGGCCTTCAAAGTAGCGAGGCAGCACACTATTCTTCACGTGTGCTTCGGGTTTCTCCAGTGTTCGCTCGACCCAGTTTTTTTTCGCGACCTACGTATTGTCGACATATCAATCTTGCGTCTGCTTATATGATGTTTCCATTCTGGTGCAATATTTGAGGGGGGGGGTGTCAGTGGAATTATTTGTTGTGCGCACGCATGTGATTGATACAGTTGGTATTTTACAGAAGAAACTTTGCAGAAAATATCGGTTGTGGTCAGGGCCGAAACTAGAGCGATAATTGGGGGGGGGGGGGTTTATTCATATATTCAGTTCTGCCCTGCGGATTTCTTTTGTAAGTGCAAAAGCTCACAGTGGAAATCCGTCGGGCAGAACTGAATATATGAATAAACACCCCTCCAATTATCGTTCTAGTTACGGCCCTGGTTGTGGTATGGCTTTTTTATTGTTGCCGATATATATACATAAAGGCAATGAACTGTTTAGCGTTCTTTCTAGAGGTGGAGCAATGTGCCTTTATGACTTTATCGGCGCTTTTAACAGAACAAAATATTTCATTATCCGAATGCTCGACAAGTAGTTATAACATACTAACTCTCCTGACGAAGGCCCTCAGGTCGAAACGTCGAGAAGTGTTTTGTCTATTTTGGCAGTTGTTATACCACATTTGATGCAAGTTGTTTGAAGACGCTGCCACGCTGCTCCCTGGTTATATTAATATATATTATGCGTAAATGTGTTTTTGGCCGGCTTGAACTCACTCATATTTGATCACTTTTGGATTATTAGATTCGGTTTTCGCGAGATAAAAAACATAAGGTTTGTATAATGTATAATACCGTAATTCAGTGCTTTTCTTGTTTCTATCTCTATAATTATTATGATTCCGAATTAATATTCCCATAAACTCTCTTTAATTTGACTTGAGCAGTTTTTTATCGCCAAATCAGTCAAACGTACAACGCTATCGCTAGCGGCCACTGCAAATAATAGTCCGCTGGTCAAACTCATAAAAGTGCTGGCATGCATTACTTTCACAAGTTCTCGTTGTTGTCTCATACAGACGAGCGATTTTTCTATGACAAGCTTAAGTACACTTGTTTAAAATCAAGTATATACCTTATTTTGCATTAAGTTCCTTACAGACGAGCTAGTTTTATATGACAATTTTTTATACCACAAGTTTTAATTGGCAATTGCAGTGTGTATGTACAACAAAATTTTCTATTACAATTTTTTTTCTTTGACAAGTTTTTCTTGCTCGTGTGAACATGCCAACAAGTTTACTTTGACAATTTAGTTTGCAGTTAGCGATGTAATCGTACTGCGGAATACATATTATTCATTTTTATCAAATGCGTACCAGGCTACTAATACGAATCCGCGCATTTCCTGTTTGTTTCAAGTGCACATGCATGCCTTAAGCCATACATATATATATATATATATATATATATATATATATATATATATATATATATATATATATATATATATATAATAAACTTTTTATGAACGTCGCTTTTTCGGTCACTTTACCGAGAAATATCGGGCCTCGATCTTTTTGTACGAACCCGTCGCTCTTCGAGCTTGGTGGGTTAAAAGACCTCGATATTTCTCGGTAAAGACCACGAGCTCGGTTAAGAAGTAGTTAATAATTTAAACAATTATAATATCCCGCGTCCCATGTGAACGATGCTACATATGAAATTATTGTAAATATGTAATGATTTTATATCGACCTAATTTATAAATTTAGAAACTCATCTTTCCTACGAAGGTACTCGTAAAAGCGATTTCTGCCGTATCTAAAGAGAAATAAGAGGAGAGAAAAATGCATGTTACTGTATAGGCTCATGCATAAACGCCTAATTTTCGGTTTCCGGAAAACTCCAACGAAGAAGATGAGATTGAAGAACGACCAGTAACAACGGAGCCTGCATGCAGTCATCGTAAATACACGACCCATAAGGGTGCGTAGATCTCCAGCTTGGTTTGATATTAGCTCAAGTGCCATGAACATTAATTGAACGTCCAACCTCCACGGTCCATGATACAGAATTTGGACAACTTTGGATTTCGCTTTGTTCTGTCACAATACCCCGGTGTAATTGCTTATCTCCGAGCGGAATTAGGACCCTCGAGCCGATAGTTTCCAAATATATATAAAATATAATAATCTAAACACTTACTCAAGAAAGTCGAAATCAATCATAGAAAAATTTGCCTGAAGCAATGCGTGGGTTCCCCAAAACAAATGCGATACCTAAGTATATGTGAAAAACAAATCATTCTCACAAAATAAATCGTTTATATATACATACACTGTAATTTTGCATGCCTGCGATTTCTTTTTAGATTATAGATGTGAACGAGCAGACGTTTTTGAACACCATGCAATGTATAAGTTTTATTATTTGCACAGCTGTTACCTATCCGCTCGTTCATATCTATCCAAGAAAAGAAAATCGTCCGGTAATTTGAGGTAGCAAAAATCACAAGTGTAGACGAGATAAGTCAGAGTAATTGTAAATATAGTTTCAACTTACCCTATATTATTAATCCTATATAATTTCACTGTGCTGGGTTAATACAGCAGGGAGGAACTTACCAGCGCAAATTGGTTAACATAAACATATAACTTTTGAATTTGTTCTTCAGTGACCACATTTCCTGTACCTAATTAACAATAAACGTCGCTATGTCAGGCTTATTAACAGAATAATGCCTAATTATTTAAGGAGATAAGTTGTTTCGCAGTCCTATCGCAAAATTGAGCTCGACAGAAAAAGGACGTATCATGAACAAATAATCAGAGAAGTCCTCTTTTTTTGAACAGCGGGACCATGGTATGGATACCACTGTAATATTGCAGTACAATTATGTACGGGAATATGGCATATTCATGATTGCTGATAACAATCGTAAACCCTATGATGGATGCATGAGATGCAGATTTAGTTTTTGACAGTTACGGGTTTAAAGGGAGCTATAGTTGTTCTCTCCTAAATCCTCCCTTCCGTTCTGCTCGTTTAAAAAAATTGACCGAGCATTGGCAAAAAGACGAGCGTCTCACTGAGAATCGTATTGACTTTTATAACTATGGATAGGCTACATATAATTTTTTATAATAATGCCACAAAACTGTCTATATTTTCATCTTTCAGGGGCCGGTTGTATCAAGCCCATTTAGCTTAAACGGTGGTAATAAGTTCAAAATTGAAAGCAACTCTATCGTTTTATTCAACAAGCTAACTAAATTTTTTTAACTTTAATAGAGAATACTGGTTACAACTACATATTCAGTACATAATATTAAAGTTGACTCATTCAAGAGAGATGTAATGTGTGTTATTTAATTTTGACTTACCCACCGTTTCAGCTAAAGGGGCTTGATACAACCGGCCCAAGAACTTTTTACTATACATTTTTTGTTCTTGTAAATTAAGGTTATGTAAAGATTTTCGCGATTGTTAATAAACAAAAAACTATAATAGATTGGGTTCGCTATAAAAAAAATCAAAACAAAAAAATAACTAATGCTTGAGTACTAACATAATTCAGTATAATATACTATACGATTCTCCCTGCGTTCTTCTGCACGAAAACCCAAGAACATGCATTTCATTCATCTTAGTATGAAGAGATTGCTACATACTCAATCTATTGGGCACATAGAAGTCAATTCTCAAATGAAATAATTATATTGAATCTAAAATTTGGTAATTGTGGCGTCTTTTTACCTTGAACTTTTGCTTTCTCCTCCAAATATATTCTCAACCATCTCATCTGAAATTCTTTACCAGGATATAAACTATAATCTGGATCAATGACAACACCTGAAATGATTACGAAAACATTTTGCATATGTGGTGTAAAAGTTGGTCTTTTAGCGTACAATTTACTACAATCCTGCATGCATGAATTCATTCAGCACAAACTGTATAGACAGTAATTTGTAAAGTATATATATATAGAGTGTGTCTATATCAAAGGTAATCTAACAACAATGCGCAGCATGATTTTTTTATATTTCATCGTCACAACAACTACGAGCATGAAATGTATCGGTATAATCAATGTAAAAAATGGAAGACGATTCAAGTAACAAAAGAACACCTAAGTTCGGGGGAAAACATTTCTCGTTGAAGCAATGTAGCCTTTTATTAATTGCGCGTAAATACGTTTAAAAATCATGCGTATAAATTAAAGCTGTATAAATAGTTCTTGCAATCTTTATTAAAATATTTTTTTTTTATACTGGCGCCGAGGCGAAAATTTGCGTCTTCATTTTTCCATGTCATGAAAAATGACGCTTGTTTCCATTTTTGCATTCCTGAGTAATTCACGAGCAGCAACTTATTTCAACAGAATCCTATATCGCTCCTATATCTTACCTCCAAATTCATTAAAGTGGTTTCCAATGTCAAACGCACTGAAATTATACGCACCATACTCGTAGTCAATAAAAGAAATTTTATCTAAAACAAGAGAAAATTAGTATTACGGCAGGTGAGACTGCTGCATTAATCTGATATCCATCATAAAGTTTTCAATTTTGCATCAATTCAGTAAGTCATGCATGTATGATTGCCACCTGGCAATATTACAGATGTATAGTAGAGAGTTATCGCCAATCGGTTCATATTTTCGCTCAGATCTTCCAACTTTTTGTCACTATCATGCACGTAGTATTTTTTATATACAGTCAATCGAGACCACGCGTATCACCAATGTCAGACGATCGTCTTTGCCGACTGGTACGAGCTAAAATTGCAGATATTAATGATGAGATAATTCAAAATGTTGTTGCTGAAACCATGATTTGACAACAGAGGAAGTGGTGGTAAAAATTAACATCGCTTTTATGTAGAAAACGTTGCCTTCTCTTTATTAATCAAGTTGTGGAAGTGCAATCCAACGATTATATAAAATTTAAACGATAGATTTTATTAAATATTTCGTGTGTATTGTCGTCTCTCAGGAAAGGTTACTTCTCAGACTACGTTTACACTACTCCGGAGCGAAAATTTGACGGCAGAATTTGACTGCGTTTACACTTATCCCTTTGAATTCCGGTGCGGTTTCGTGGGCGTTTGTTTACACATAATCGTCATTCACTGTCAACATTCGTGAGTTAACGTTTTCGCGAAAAATTGCGCCATTTCTTGACTCTTGTCGACACGTTGTTCCACTGCGTTGTTCACGTTGCTATTTTACCAGTGTATTTTTCATATCTGTAGCCACGGGAAGCGAGAAAAATGTAAATTTTGTATTGACTGAAGACGAGATTGAGTTACTTTTAGGAGTTATTTTACATTTTAAGGCAGATAGAGAAGCAGAGGGATACGATTGGGGGTCTGTAAAAACTAAATACGAAAGCATCAATGCGTTGTTAGTAAAAGGCTATCCAAATGAATGTAGCCAAAGTTTTCCCAAGGCAAATCCTGAAAAAGATTTTATCAAATCGAGGATTCAGACAAAAGTAAAAGCTATTCGGTTGAAGTATATAGAAAAGCAGTCGAGTCTGGAAAAAAAAAGCGGAGGAGGTCGCGTGGTAGCGACATTTTACGATTCTTGCTAGAATATTTGGGGAGGGAGCCCTGCTGCGGAAATGATAGACAATTGTATAGAAACATCGGACATCTTGTCGCAGGATCCAGTACATGATAATATAGATGAACGCTACTTGAAGAGAGAAGAAGAGCATGGTGAAGATTATGGCGAAGGGGAAACTGATAAAGAAGCGACTGCCACAAATCGTTTGAAAAGAAGAAATTGTGGTTGATCGTATTGACTATTGTAAACGAACGAAATTCAAAATTATTGAAAAAGTACCTATGGAAAAAGCATTACTCGATGTGGCTAAAGAGGACATGGCTTTGAAAAGAGAAATATATACGGAAATAAAAAAATCAGACAAGGAACAGTGTGATCAGATGAGAATTCTAAATGATATTATCACTGACCCATCGTAAGGGACTGGTAATAAAGTGCAGCGAAATATTAACGGTGCAGTGTTTACACAACGCCATGTAGCGCTCCGTTTTCGTTCAACCACGTTTAGAAAGTGTGGTCGTGGCGCTGCGGCAAAGGTGATGGTTTCGAACAAATCCGCTCCGGTGCGGTGTAAATGGAATCCCGCTTTGATAGTTTTTTGCACCGTTTTCGGACCGATCCGGAGTAGTGTAAACGTAGTATCAATATTCTGCATTTGTTAAAAAGAGACACTGAGTTTGTATCAAAAACAAATTTTTGACTGTTTCTCGTTGTAACTTTAATTTACAAAAATTAGCAAATTATTGTAATTCCTCTGCATAGTTCTAGATATTCCAAGATAATTACTCTCTAAGTCTGTCTCAAACGTTCAAAAACTCAGAAAACCGCCCCTTCAAATTTGGCTTCAAAGATGGCGTTTAGCGTCCCATGTTTTAATATCTAGGTTAACCCTAGTCCCCGCTGCTTACTTACCAATTTGGAAGGTTAGGTGGAAGCTGTAGTCCGAGGTGGCCCGAGAACGAGGCAAGGTCGCAGGTGGCCTTGAAACTAGCACTGGTACTTGGATTAAGGAAAGATCCATGCCAACCAAAAGATGCTGCAAGCATCACCCATCCAAGTACCGAGCTAGCGAAGCGCGGGCTATGGACGCTGGCCAGAAGATGACACAAACAGATTGGCCAGAATAACGCGCTGTTGTTGGATACAAACGACATACCGTACTATCTGCGGGATCGCAAGATAGATTTGCTAAAATAATGCGCTGTCGTTGGATATAAACGACAAACCGTACTACCTGCGGGAACGCAAGATAGATTTGCTGAAATAATGCGCTTTCGTTGGATACAAACGACAAACCGTACTATCTGTGGGAACGCAAGATAGATTTGCTAAAATAATGCGCTGTCGTTGGATACAAACGGCAAACCGTACTACCTGCGGGAACGCAAGATAGATTTGCTAAAATAATGCGCTTTCGTTGGATACAAACGACAAACTGTACTATCTGCGGAAACCTAAGATAGATTTGCAAAAATAATGCGCTGTCGTTGGAAACGAACGACCACAGGAACGACAAACGCACACGATATAGGCGCAAAATGGTGTGAGGTGTGAGGCGCTGGCGGCAAAAGAAAACGTCGGGCACGACAACGACCGACGCATACTAACGGAAAAGACGATCGATTAGACAGAATTTCGTTCAATATTTTTTTTTCATTTTTAATACCACAATTATTACTATTTACAACCCAAAGAATACATTAACAACAACTAGTGCAGTGCATGTATAAAACTTCGTGTTTATGTCAAAAGGTGTTGACAAGGTGCGTGTTAAACTGCCAAACGGGAAGCTACGCCCTCTAGGGTTGCCGCAGGTGCACATATACAATTGATATGCATCACAAATCCAGCGGCCAAGTGTTTTAATCAAATGGTCAGGAATACCAACTGCGGCGGCTGTGGTTGTGGCGCCAATTCGAAAACTATGTCCGGAATAATGTCCGGTTTCACCGATACGTAACATCGCATCTTTGAGCCAAGTACAAAACTTGTCACGCGATAAAGGTTGTCCGTTTGGAAGGGCGAATAAAGGTCCTGGACTATTGCCTCGAAGATGAAGATAACTCATCAGGGCTTGCACGGCGCAAATTTTCGCCCGGGATGCACCAATACGCACAACGTGACCCTTAAAAACTGATCCGTTCTGGACACTTTAATATTGATTAATACCACCGTAGGGTTAATGCGCTTATCAACTTGGATATGTCGTTCAAGGACAAATTGAGATTAGTATCAAAGCGCGATGAGTGTGTTGTGAACTCGCCGTACCGCAGAAAGCCAAAAAAGCCTGTCAAACAAGCGGCCCAAAATAACGCGTCCATATACTTTGTCTGGTCGATTAGCTGATACAGTTTTCGTAAAACCGAAATCGTAATAGGTAAACGTTTTTGAGTCCCAGTCCCTTGTAATCTCTTTATGCCCCGCAGCACTCGTTCCAGACGAAAGCAGTTCTCTAGGGGGTTTCTGAAACCGTGTTCAATGTGCAAAGACCGAACTCCAGAGAGATATACTTTAATGGAACTGGCTTTAAGAGAACGAGATAAGTGCGCGGCGAACAACATAAGCGTGTGTTCGCTGGCTGGTAGAGGTGAACCGCCGTCGTGAATAAGGCTCGACCAATAGCAAAACTCCAAAAATCTGCGTTGCGATGCTGAATATGTCCGTCAGTAAATTTGGCGAGGCTGTGAAATAGCAAAGAGTTGGTGTAATCCGTTAAATATAGCAGGTCAGCTGTGCTCGCAAACTCACTGGTACCTCCACTGGGGTGGAATGAGCGCCGGGCGCAAGGCGAAAGAACTCCTGCAAGTTAAAACGGGAGAGAGAATCAGCAATCGCATTGGTCTTGCCCGGCACATGCGCTGCACAAACCCGAAAGTTAAAGTGCCTATATCACTTTTGGGTTTTTACGGATTTGAATAGAGCTTGAAAAATTAGTTTATAAGTTCTACAACCCTTTTTGATATAGTTAAATAGTTTCGGAAAGATTTACATCTAAACATGACGATTTGCCTAAATTTCCGTCGTGCTCGGGGGCCTGGGACTCAGGAACCGAGTTCTTGTCAAACATAATATAATCAATAATATTTGTAATTTTACTTCGATCTTCCAATATAACATAAAATTTTTGAGAAAAACTCGCCCAGTTGCTACAGCCATACACAACGCACCGTTCCCGCATTTTTTTCTTGAAAAGCGCGAACTATATCGCCAGTGAAACTCTTCATGTTTACATTATAAAAGACGGCGTGTTTGCAAATCATTCCTGGTCCCAGTCCCCCCAACCGACATATTTTCAAAACTATTTAATTCTATCAAAAAGGTTGTAGAACTTATAAACAAATTTTTCAAGCCCTGTTCGAATCCGTAAAGATCCCACAAGTGATATAGGCACTTTAATATGGCTAAATTGATCTATTGTATATACTGTATTTATACTTTTAATACAATACAGAATAGTTCATCTCATGCAGAAATATTTTTGTATTTGTAAATTTAAACCAGAAATATAGGCATTTTAAATTTTGCGGAGACCAGAAAAAGGGCACGAACCAAGTGCATGATGTTGTTATCTTTAGACGTGCCTAACTATAGTATGTGCACCACGCTCTGGTTATCACACCAGAATTTTATGCGCGTATTGGCCCATGCTGGCCCCCATATGTGACATGCAACGAGCTCTTTGTACGCCATGCCCAACGGTTGTTGAGCGGGTAGCTAGTGTTGGCAAAACCAAGCACCATTATTGAATACCCCAAAGCTCTGCTTTCCCGACGCGTCGCTGGACAGTTCAAAATCGGGCAGGGGAGCCCAATCAGGGAGGTCAAAAAAATAAATGCCATTCCAGCAGGATGGTAGGAATTCCGACCACCATTTTAAGTCTAGTTGGCAATCTCGGGGTATGCGAATAGACCTCCAATAACGTTTGGAGTCTCGAAGTAGGTTGATGAGGCGGCGCAAAAATGTTCGGCCCGCCGGGACAACGTAGCAGGCATGATTGAGTTTGCCGATCAGAGATTATAGCTCTTTGCGCTTGCAATACGTTATTTCTGCCCACTGCCGAATAAGCGTGAGCAGATCAGACAGCTTGTCCGGAGGTAAGCGCGCTGTCATTCGCAGGGAATCGAGTTCGATTCCTAAGAAGACCAAACACGTCGTAGGACCCTCGATCTTGTCTGGGGCCAGGGGGATGCCCGTTGAATAGCTTGTAACGAGTTAGCACAGATGGGTGACGCCGAGGGGCATAATGTAAAATAATCGTCCAGGTAATGCAAAAGATCGCGAACCAGGTAATTAGTAATAAGAATCCACTCAAACAAGTCCGCCAAACTGGTAAAAATGTAAGGGGCAGAGCGAAGCCTGGCGAGGTTCTCCGGGAGAAGATCGCCCATTTCGACGAATTTGTTCTGAAGAATTTTTGTGACCAGCTTCGGAGGAATTGGCGCACAGCCGGGGCCCAAGCTAAAGGCTTTCTCAGGACCGAGGTGGGGAGTCATATCGACATGTTAGTGGCATGGAGAGAAGAGAGAGTAGGGGGCACGCAATATAACATGTGGGATGACGCAGCGCACCTCGACAGGAACACCTAACTTCCGATCGAATCACGCGTGGTTTCTTCGCTATTAACTTTGGTTATTGAATAACCTCATTTATCGGTTCGCCCAACCTTGGCGCGCCGCAACCCGATCCCAAAAAGAGCGCGAAAATAAAATAAACAAAAATGACTCATTACTACTTTACACTATTGTAGTTCACATTTACATATAATTGTATTGTGTATAATAATATTGTATATAATTGTATATAAATAACACTGTACCTTCATCCTTGTTGTATATGATATTCTTGACTAGTAAATCATTATGACTGTAACTAAGTGGCACATCAGCTTCACTAAGCAGGTCTTTGAGAAGTTTCAGTTCATCCACCACATTTATCTTATTGAGAATTTCCTTTTCATACCTGCAATAAAAGGTATTTTATTTTTGTCATTCATGTAGAATATGTTTGAATCAGAGCCACTAGGTATTCAGTAAAATACATATAAAAAACAACAGTATAAATCCAAAAATATATTTTCAAATTTCAGATTTATTTCTAGCATTTGAATGCAATGTAGTCAATCACCATGGACACCACCAGGTATGTTTTTTGATATAGCAGGCTGGTTCTTATTATATAGTATTGTGATTTTCCATACATATGTAGATTGTTACTTTGTACAATAAAGTATTATATTAGTATGATAATCAAAGAATGCAATATTTACAAATTACTAACCTATATTATGAATATAGTAATCATTTTGCTCAATATTGTTATTAAATAGCCTGCTATGGTTACAAAAAACATTCCAGATGATGACTAAACTTTAGTTGATCATCTAGTTGTTGAACTATGCATGTAAAATATAATATTGTGTTCAATACTAGAGTATATTTATAGGCTGAATTATACCAATTAGCCTTGCAGGCGTATGCATCCGTCAAATGATTTTAGATATTCCAGTCAGTAGCAGATAATTCTGATGACCAACTAGCTGCAAGATCCCCACTTCATTTGGGTAAAATAGGCACAAGATTGATAAATATGAGGACAATTAATTTAACCAGCCAAAATAGATTTAAATAACTCTTAATTTATTCAATATAGCTGATAAATATTTATTCACATCAATATAATACTTAAAGCAGATAATAGTAAATTGTCTTTGCATTAATGATCGGAAGAAAGAATTGTTCGGATATACCGTTATTCCTAAAAGTTTTATTAAATCAAGGCCTTTGAATGGATAAAATAAAGACTATATGGAAATATATACTGATTTGCATAATGGCTTAAGTTAGCTTTTAAGTGAGAGTGTATTGGGAAAGTAGTTGAGCTGCTGTAGCAGATAGTTGCTGATATTTATGTATAGGCATGCAGTCTAAATTTGTGTGTTAACATTAACTTCAGAAGTGTTTCAAAAAGTTTTTCAACATAGTGGAACAGTGGAACTTATGATGGAGTAACAGCAATTAACAAAATCTTTGTCGTACAACTCTGGTATTTCATGGCCATAACCCCAATGCAAAATGTTACAAAATGCTTGAACATGGTGCTAGTGCAGGAAAAGTAACTAAAGAGATGTGTGTGAAAAGTGTTCAGCACTCATCATACACAGGCAATGTAATTAAACCTTGTGTATTGTTATAGTGTATTATTATACAATTATATACCTTCTGTGCAAATACTGAAATTCATTGGTTAAGGGGCGTGTGGCACAATTTCATGAGCTTAAATTGTGTTTTAGTATACTTTCCCTTAACACAAGTTGATTACAGAAGGCGTATAATTAATCAGTAATAGAATCAATTAAGTCCTGCAATTAATGGCAAATTAATATTAATGCATGACATTATTAATATATACATTATTTTACTTTTTACTAAAAAAGGTCCAGTAAGAGTACCACTACAGTAAAATTTATACATCAAATCGTCAATATTGTCCAAATCTCTTGATGAAGGCCCTCAGGTCGAAACGTCGAGAATGTTTTATCTATTTTAGGCAGTTGTTATACCACATTTAATATGCATATATATACATGTATGCGATTATTATACAATTAAGCTCACCTTTCCTGTTTCAAATCATCTTCGAATCTCTCAGGCAGAACACTAAGAAACTTCCCAATCATTTTAAAAACACAAGGTTCGCTAGTTTCAAAATCGCTTGGCAACTCTATCGCGTGAACGTGGGCTAATTTCTTGGCAATCAGTTCACTGAAATGCTTGTCCGACATTTCCTCTGTTTCCAGTGTTCGACCAGGAATGAAGCCACAGCAATATCCGTTCTCAAAGGTGCCATACAATTTAGGAGCATATCCCTGCGAGTGTAGAAACTCCACATTTATTAGCTCTTGCTTTCTATCGATGAATAATTCAGTTTGATTTCCATATAGTCTGAACATTATAAGATCGCTCTCTGAACCATTTTGCAACATGCAGCCAAATAATTTGTTGCTAATGCCTTCGGTAAATTTCGTAAACTTTAGTTTCTTTCCAGACCATTCTGGCTTTATTTCATATAGTATTCTGAGGATCCTTGGTTCGCTGTTTTCAAATGGAATTGCAAATTCAAAGTGTCTTCTTTTACACATTGTTGTAATGGCGATAAAATTTCACTGGAATCATTGATACTGTATCAATATTGTTATAATCTTGTTAAATGTATCAAATTACTTGGTTGTTCTGTCACTATAGGTGTCAGCACTTGTAACGAAAATCAAATTAATAATCCAATTGTATTTACCGTGCAACATCAGACCTGCTGTAAGACGATACATATTTCTCCGGGCCTCTCGTTTCCATTGCTTGCTACCTGTCGGAAGGTATACTATGTCATGAAAGATCGAATTACATCACAGTTAATGATGAAGAATTTAAGATGACTGTTTGCGGTTTGCCGGGCTGAAAATAGCCTGCATGCTAGGCTGATATCAGCCAAGGTTAACCTGGGTTATTTCAGTATTATATTTTGGCGCAAAATGTTGAAAACTATTCAGGAAACGGCTCCTCTACCCTTATTAATCATTTTAATCCTTTCTGGGTTTTATATTATTACTGAAATAATTATATTCATTCCTTTGCTTTTTCAGTCCGTTTTGGGTGCGTGGAAGGTGCCCCCCCCCCCAATTATCGTCTCCCGTACACCACTGAAAATATTAGAGAGGTTAAAGATACCCCGGTTTCGATATACGGGTGCGGGGATACGCCATAATTGTTCATTGGATTCAATTTCTTGTCAGTTTGCACGTTTCATGATACAAATCATGCTCACCTCAAGAGGCTACCCCTATACACAAAAACCGGGATATCTAGAAGCATCGCATTGATCAAAGCAGTGCACAACCGCCGGTATAGATAAATAAAAATGGGCGTGAAAATGAACGCCTTGGTATAGTAAGTAAAAATTACAGCCGCTGAAACTAGGTGGCATATAGTAATGACATATTGGCGGGGTTTTTGTACCCGCTATTGTTTGTGCGCGTGAGCGAAAATTGAGCAATGCGCATGCACGGCAAGTGCCTGGAATGTTCAAAATGGCTTGAATTTCTTGGTAAACGTCTGCTTAACCATTTTCAATAATCGAAGCTTCCCTCCGGCGCTATATTATGAACCAAGCATATATGATTTCCTGAGCTCACAATTGCCAATGCCGGGTGTAATTCCTAATCTCCGGGCGGAATAATTGGTACCCTCGCCGTCTCAGATTACTCTCTGATACGTAATGGATGCGATATAGTGTTATGGTTAGGGCTTTTTTAAAGGGTGTCTAAAAGCTGGAGTGGAACATAGCAAGATATAAGGCAAAAGGTATGATATATATATAGATAAATATTAGTTACATGCCGTAAAGATAGATAATGCGGTACTTCAGTGGTGAAGTATTTGTCATCCTTGTATATAACTCCCATACGTTTCACAATTGCCACAGCGGAAGGGGCGATTTGAAATTAATTCAATAGCGACTGCGTATATAGTTTATGGTCGTATATAGCTCCATATATTATCGTGATCGAACGCTATATATATTCTCTGTTTCATCTACCTCGCCTTATTTCGTACATGATTAGAAAATGAAAGTAGTGAGCCCTGACTATAGGCTATTAAAACCTCGATCAGTGTTCTTCCTTTCGAATATAATTGGAATTTCGATATTCCATATTTGATGTGACCTCAGTTGTAAAAGTATATGACCATATTTTTGCATGATGGCGACAGATTCATTCAATTAAACTGAGTGAAACTTTTAAACGACTTATCTAGAATTGTTGCTATAATTATAAGCGGCTGGTACATTTCACTATATATATGAGTATTTCTCGACTTTAGTGAGACATGACATTTAGTCATGTTTACAATATGCATTACAGTTCTACTTGTATAACTTCCTCCACAGTTTACAAAAGCATAAAAGAAATAGTATTTGAAAGTTAATGGTTTAAACGTCAGCCTTTCAAAGCCAGAATAAGAATTAATCTGTCAAATGTTGAAGCACAGCGGCCATAGACATAGTATAAGCCAGTATAGGACATATTTTATATAAGGTAATGGCTAGGAACCAACTAATGATTGTTACGGATTTGTGATTCAGATTAATAGATAAATATGTTTTATTGTCTTCAGCAAATTGCATCGTGCTATACGTAGAAACAACATAGTGTATGGTTTTGTCAATGTTTCTTCCGTTTTGACAGCGGTATATACTTCAAGACAGATACAGAACTATCGAGGAGTTGATTATCTATAGAGCGGGCAATTTCAGTATTTACTGATATATGTACTATAACAGCTTGATATCAAATTGCTAGATTTTCATAAAGTTACATATAACGAAATCTGAATCAGTGCTGTGTCGTATTATTCATCATCTACATTATAATAATATCCTCGGTATTTCTTAGCTTTACCTTGTCGATTTACTTTGTTTCAGAGAGCATTTGAATAAATATTTTAAGGGCATTCTCAATTCTCAAGTCAGTTTAACAAAGAACTTTGAAGCTAGGCAATGACAGATCTTTGAACGGATCACGATTTTCGGTTGCTTGTCGACACGAAGTGGTTAAATTAAATTAATAAACAAAATTACCATCAATCACTACAAGTTGTCCCAAAAACTCTCAAACTATTGAAATCATCCACAAAGATGTAATGCATATGGTTAGAGTTTCAATGCCTAAGCACCATGCTGGGACTCAAAAGTGCATGACTGTGTAAATTTTTGACATGAGCATTTTTATGGATGCATGCAACGACCGCAAAATTTGTTTCTACCCGAAAATGATTTTTTTTACTAATATTTACAAATATGGATAGCAGTATTTAAATAAGCCTTCAGGTGTCAGTAAATTGTTAGATCGAACAGAGCGAGGACGCTAAACAAACTTTACTAAATTCTATTCTATTCAAGTTGGTGTGCGCTAACCAAATTTATTCTGCTGTATTGCAAGATCAGGTGTTATTCATGCATGTATGAATTCATGATTATGTAATTTGCGCGCATTCTATAATCTGTGTGATCCCTTTCTAAATTGTGTACTTCGAACCCGTAACTCATAACCCATTAGCTAATTGATATCGCATATACCCCCAACCATACCATGTTACGACTATAAAATGGCACATAAAAACACACAACAATCTATTTACCGAACCTCAATCCCTATCGAGAATCAGCCATTGCATCAGAGCATTGTATCATTTAACTGGTATTAAAGTTATTGTTTATGTGTGATCTGCGTACGGAGTTCATTATTGCTGTGCATTATTTGCTCTTTTTGACTTTGCGCCCGTTAATAATCGAACATGACCAGCAATAAACACAGTTAATTAAATTAATTACATATTTTTTGTAGAATAATTATATTCCCGCGCAAAAAAATATTTTATTTAGGTTTTGCTTGTTCCATGCATGCGCACAATGCACATTGTTTGCGAGTGTCCAATAATCCTCAAGCTGTTTTAGCCTATTGTAATTTACCCTGCGAAGCTGTTACGCTCCTTAAATTAAATTATATATACAAAAACTAATTTTTATTATTTTTCGTGATTTCCGCCTTTACCCATACCTGAGACTTCACTTGGGCTTCTAGGTAATTTGATTAACAATCGTTTAAGAATTAAAATGCTGCTTAATTGAATACGAAATGCGTATTATTCTTTTTGTGGGCCAAAGATGGCATAGAGAGGGCCAACAATGATTGGATTTTTCAAAAAATTGAGAGAAAATGAGATGAGGTTTTATATGTCGAACGAAAAGTTGGAAACGTTTTTTGAATCCAGTTTGTATTCAATTAAATTAAAATCTGCATGACCAAGGGCTACTCCTGCAAAGGAAAATGGAAAGAAAGTAGAAGTAAAAACCAGTGGACCGTCCTTAATCAATGGTGGAATAGAGTTGAACCAGTAGGACATAACACAAATTGACACTTTTCTGATCTTTTGTATGACCTCTTCTGCGCTTCAAAACAGATTACACTTTTGTTGGATAGAGTGAACCAGTTTTGTTAACATTACTGATTCAAACCATTGATTAAGCACGGTCCACTGGTTATTGTGGGTAGCCCGTTCGCGGGCTAACCACTATGCTACACGCAAAAAACGATGAGGGATGATGCATGTTTGTCCGCCGAGTTTGTTTATCTACGAAAGAGACTGGGCAGAGCCGAAATTTTGTCAGCCTGATCGGTGTGAACTGGCCTAAACTTTCAGATAAATTAATCGCAGAAATGGTATTTCATTGGTATTTCATTGATTGTTTTTATGTCTACTTTGTTATAACTGTATCCAACTAGCAAACTAGCCCATCTTTGCGCATGGGATTAGAACGTAAAACTAAGCATCATGCAGTTGATTTCCCCGCCATTATTGCGGCCTGTCATTTGACATTGAACAAAACTTGAAAATCTTTGCCAATGCTTTGGAGGCTACGCACATGTATGCATTGCATACCTATTTTTACTTTTGCTTTCTTTCCGTTTTCCTTTGTAGGAGTAGCTCTTGGTCTTGCAAATTTTCATTAAATTAAATACAAACCTGATTCACAAAACGTTTCCAACTTTTCGTTCGACACATATAACCTCATCTCAATGGACCTTTTGCATAATAGACCAACTTTTGTTTTAGGCAACAAGAAGGAAATTTCTGAAAAGTACTAGTGCATTCTAATTTTAGTAAAATTACCAAGTTTGGATGCACAATATTGTAAAGGGGGAAAATATAACCATGCGAAGTTGGCAATTTTGTATATTTTTTACTACAGCCTGAAGTGTGTAACTAAATTAGTTAAACCCTTGCGGCAGTAGTAAAAAAGTATACAAAATTGACAAATTCGCATGGCTATAAATATTTTCCGTAATACCTGATATTTTGCGGCCAAACGCGGCGATTAAATTAATTTTGGTATGCTCTTTTTAGCAGTGGTGATTTATTTCCTTCTTGTTGCCTAGATCGTAAGTTGGTTTATTATTCCCGCAATATTTCGAGACATCCCAACATTGTTGGCCCTCTCTTTGCTATCTTTGGTCCGCATTTCTTATTCAACTAAAATACCACGAGAATTAACGAGAAATCTATATAGGATGCATTACTATTATAAAATGCGCAAGTTCATATCAACTCACAGGATATCGTTCATTGTAAATTATCGTAATATAAGAAAAATTGTCGACTGGACTCAGACTTTTGGTCACCACTTTATGTATCAGTAATATGCTTAATTTTACAGGTCTTGATACAAACAAAGAAGTAGCTAAGAAAATCAAGTTCAAGATTGGGTTGTTGCAAACACCAAGAAATATCACAGGATGGCAGATCTGGTACCAATTGTTGCTAATGCTGAAAGCAAAACTCCTGAAGTCACTGAAAGGTGGACAGTTTTGAATTCTGCTGTGAAACGAGGTGAACTTGACACTGTAAAATCTCTAGTGGAAAATGGCGCTGACGTAAATAGCAGGACTGCTGGGAAACGGACAATTCTTCACTCTGCTGCCGAAGGAAGTGAACTTAACATTGTAAAATACCTTGTCGAACATGGTGCTGATGTGAATGGCATGACTATTGATGGTAAAACAGTTCTGCACTCTGCTGTTGAAGGATGTAAACTTGAAATTGTAATATATTTGGTGCAACATGGTGCTGATGTAAATGGCAAGACAATAGACGGCAAGACAGTTCTGCACTCTGCTGCTGAAGTAGGTGAACCTGAGACTGTAAGATATTTAGTGCAACGTGGTGCTGCGGTAAATACAGTGACTCGAAAAGGGTGGTCGGCTCTCCACTTTGCTGCTAGCAGTTGTGGACTTGACATTATAAAACGTTTAGTTGAACAAGGTGCAAACGTGAGAGGCCGGAGTACTTTTGGGTGGACAGTTCTGCACTCGTCTGTTAACTTGAATGGTGATCCTGATGTTGTGAAATATTTAATCGCACGTCCTGCAAATGTACATGAGGAGAGTTCTGAGGGGACGACTGCTTTGCACTTTGCTGCTGAAAAAGATGAACCTAAGATTGTAAAATTTTTGGTCGAACGTGGAGCAGATGTAATTAGTGTGGATGGTGACGGGATGACAGTTCTAGTTGTTGCTGTTAAAAAAGGTACATTTGAGAATATAAGATATTTAGTAGAACATGGTGCTGATGTTAATCGCAAGACTATTGATGGACGGACTGTTCTGAACGCAGTTGTTAAGAAAGGCGATCTTGACATTGTAAAGTATTTAATTGACCATGGTTCTGATGTAAAAAGCAAGACTAGTGAGGGTTGGACCGTTTTGCACACTGCTGCAAAGAAAGGTAAAATTGGCATTTTAAAATATTTCGTGGAACACGGAGCTGATGTGAATGCTACGACGTCTGAGGGTTGGACAGTTCTTCACTCTGCTGTTGATGGAGCTGAACCTGACATTGTAAAATATTTAGTTGAACATGGTGCTAATGTGAATGGCGTGTCTGCTCGCGGTAAAACAGTTCTTTACTATGCTTTTGAAACGGGTGAACCTGAAATTCTAAAATATTTAGTCGAACATGGTGCTAATGTGAATGGCATAACTACTTTAGGAAGGACAGTTTTGCACTTTGCTGTTGCAAGGCGTGAAACTAAAATTGTAAAATATTTAGTACAAAATGGTGCTGATGTGAATGGCATGGCTACTGACAAGAGGACAGTGCTGCACTCTGCTGCGGAAGTAGGTACACTTGAGGCTGTGAAATATTTGGTAGAACACGGGGCTGATGTTAATCGCACGAGTATTGATGGGACGACAATTCTGCATTCAGCTGCTAGAAGAGGCGAACTAATCATCGTGAAATACCTAGTCGAACATGGTGCTGATGTAAGTAAAAAAAACCCTGAAGGACAGACAGTTCTGCGTTTTGCTGCTGAAAAAGGTGAACTTGACATGGTGAAATATTTAGTTGAACATGGTGCTGATGTGAATGGCAAAGATAATGACGGGTGGACAGCCCTGCACTCTGGTAGTGAAAGAGGTAAGCTGGACATCGTAAACTATTTGGTCGAAAAGGGGGCTGGTGTAAATGACCGAACTACTAACGGGTGGTCAGTTCTGCACTCTGCTGTTGATGGAGGCGCACTTGACATTGTGAAACACTTAATCGAACGTGGTGCTGATGTCAACAGCAATACGTGTGATAAAAAGGCAGCTTTACATATCGCTGTTGAAAAAGGTGAACTTGAACTTGTAAAATATTTACTCGAACATGGTGCTGATGTAGACGCTAGAAATATTCATGGGCAGACAGTTTTGCATATTGCTATTGCAAGTAGCGTACTTGTTACTCTAAAGCGTTTACACGTAACAGTTCAAAATTTATTCTCTAAAAAAAAGCTGAGTGACGTAACCTTGGAAATGGCTAACAATTCAGTCAACTTAGTTGAAATTTTATTAAAAAAGAAAATCCCTGTGAGGAATCTTAGAACATTTCTTGTTGAAGGAACTCTAATTAGTCTTTTACAGTGGAGTATTCTTTTTGGTCGTAATGAAATGACCAAACTTCTGAAAATGTCCGTAAAACATCACGAAAAATTGCAGGCGTTGAAAACAAGGAATTGCAACAATTTGGAAACAGTAAGTAGCGATAAGCAGTGATTCTATTAATACCTATTTATAATTAGCTTTCATCAAAAGCAACAGATAGATGACTTTGTTGCCTTGTACGAACCGGGTAATATAAAACATGTTCTCTCATTAAATTCCATTTCAGGCGCCATTCGTCACCACTGTTTGCCAAACATACGAGCTATTACCTTAGATATTCTCTCTCCTCTATATGTTTTGTTTTATACCCGATCTCTTTGCCTTGGTGAATATTTTGCCATTTTAGCGCTTATATCGTTACAAAAGGCGTAAACAACTGGCAAAAGCATCTCTCTCAACAAAGTCGCAAAATTCCGGTCTGGTTCACACACTTTAATTCCGGTCTGGTTCAAAAATTAAACTTCCAGTCACATACCAACAAAAACTCAGTTATCGAACATAAAATTTTGGAAAAATCGCATTTTGTGTTTGTATTGTCCATAGATCATTGCGTATTTTATGTGGAGAACTTCTTTCTTTTCTTTGCTCAAAATAATAACTATATTCATCTATTGTTTTTCAGAGTGCAGTACCGATGCAGGCTTTTGTTGCGGATAAGGTATTTAAAATTGGCGACGGTTCCTGTGGTTCATGCGTCTATGTCGGTCTTATGGCTGATGGAAGCGAAGTCGCTGTTAAGCGAATGCCAGTGCAAAGGTGCGAAAGAACCGCTGAAAACGAAAAGGAAATCCTGAGTCTCCTTGAAACAGAAAAATCTCCATTTGTAGTAAGCTATCGAGGTTTTTACAACGACGGAAACTTCATGTATCTCGTTATTGACCTCTGTGAAGAAAGCTTGGAAAAGCTTGTTGATTTTTCCAGTATTGAACATCTACAACAACATGGTCAACGAATGATTAAGGAAATTCTATCCGGCCTTGAATTTCTCCATGCAAAAGGGATTCTGCATAGAGATCTTAAACCATCAAACATCTTGGTTGATATCGAAGGATGCATGAAATTGGCGGACTTTGGAATAAGCCGCGTTTTAAAGGAGGAAGAAACAGGTGTTGAAACAGGTGCTAATGGTTCTATCGGCTGGGTCCCTCCAGAAGTGATTGAAGCGAGAAAAAGAGAAGGAAAAGGGCCCTTCAAAAAACAGTCGGATGTCTATGTAGCGGGTATGATTTTCTTCTTCATCTTAACTAAAGGTCAACATCCTTTTGGCGGTACAGATGATCGAATGAGAAATATTGCGAGGGAGAAACCTGTGAATTTAAAGAAACTTAGTGAGCGCAAGGCTCGGAAGTTTGTCTCCTGGCTAATCAAGCATAAGATTGATGAAAGACCTTATGCCACCGATGCTTTAAATGGTCCTTATTTGAGTGAGATTTTTTCGCCTGGTATGAGCTAGAATGTAATGCGATTACTCATGACGACGATGACGTTGCCCAAATTTACGTCTTAGTCAAAACGTTTTCTTAATATCTTGCGTAAAATAGAGTTCGTGGTGACGATATATGCGACAGCAAGAAACGATTTTAATTCATTATCGTTGTATTCGACGACTGTCATTCGCCATTAGAATTTTTCAGATTAATTTAAATTTTGAGCGGACTCGAAAATAATAAATTTCGGTTTTATCCGTAAAAACGAAAAAACGTTGGCCTTCACTATTCTAGCTCGGGAATACGTTTTACGTCTCCCGAAAGAGTTTATGTCTATAGCTATATAGCTGTATCTATGTAAAAATAATTCATAGTTGATTGGTTGGTACAATTTATATTATTCACTCGTTCGCTACGTCTGATATCTATATAAACTAATAGCGAAAATCATTCTTCCGCAAACTTTCTCAATTAAGCTACTGTACTCAACAAAGGAAATATTGGCATATATACCAATAAAGAATTTATTGCTTCCTGCACTTGAGACTTAAAGTAGATTGAATATTTTAGTTTGACGCATGAGTAATGTCCCTGGAGAGCGGAGATGAGGGTCTGCATATATCAAGAGCCGAATGTGCTGTTAATCCATTCTGTTCTTCGCTTTGACAAGGTCACTACAGATCAAATTCGACCCGCGAAGTCGACCCACCCTCCTTCCCGTTTTCTCACGCGAGCTTAATGTCATTGCATACTAGTTTATTCGGTCGGGGGTTTAAATTAGTCCCACCCTGTCTATGCGAACTGCTTAGTAATTGAATTTATTGTTTGTTGATTAATGATTAATTTGTTGTTAATTAGAAATTAATAAATCGGCATGTGCGTTATACAATTGCGCACATTGCCAAAATTATTTCAACTCTGTGTGAGTGGTTTTTTGTACGAGATCTAGAGCGCAGAAAACAGAGCTCGTCGTGACAAAGTACCTTTTAGATATGAAGCTAATGAAAGGGACCGATAAAAGAAATTAAAGAATGTTATCCAGCTACTTGGTTTCACGGGATAGTTTCTAATTCTGAACCTTTCTATTTTTCTTCATTCTGCGGTTTTGTTTCTGCGCGATAAATTTCCGGAACAATTATCTTTTTCGCGGGTGGAGCACTGGAGGAATTTCAGTAATTTTGTACTTTCGTTCCAAACATGAGAAGAATAGTTTCTTTGGCCAAATAGTTTTTCCGCAAATTTAACTTGTGACTTACTGTTTTCGCTGCGTTGAAGGTTTCACTTGAAGTAGTCTAAAAAGTTTCAAAAACGAGTAATTATCTTCCACGTATTGTCTTATGTGACCATTTAATATGATAAGAGGTGATTGGCAAATTTCCATCAACAACTAAATAAAGAGTTCTGTTCCCTCCGAAAAATCTATGACCACCCGCTTGTTAGATATTCGAGAAAAATAATAACACCTCCCTCTACACACACATACACCTACAGCGCCATTGATGTAAAAATAATAGGATCCAATTTCAGCGTAGTTCCTGAATGCTATACACTCTGTTTTGAACAGTGGTGGCAAAAATAGAATGTAAGAACTATAGTTAATTAATAGCAAAGCACTGCATTTTGTGTTCATGCTCCTTTTGGATATCAAATTTGTTGCTTTTTACGGTCCCTTGCATGATTGCATTAATCGTAACATGTAAAATTTCATGTACTAAAACTCTAGACTCTTTATCTGAATCGACAATTTTAGGTAGCCCCATTTTCATAGTCGAAACCCTCATGACCAACACCTTTTTTACGTCCACGTCCGATTAAAAAATCAATGGTCAATAAAGTTCATAGTAAATTGTTACAAAACAAAAATGTAGAGATCCTATTAACGAGGTTCCTTATTTCCGCTATAAATAACCACTTTTGATTCTATGGTCATTGATATCGCACTCGGCTCAAGTACGTTTTCGCTGAGCCGGTGCAGAGAGCCGTGCGAAACCGTGCAATTCATATACATGCAAACAAATTCAATTAGCGTACTGTTAAAATAACACGAATAAAAACGCATGCAAATTGAAGACAAGCACACAAATTAAAATAGTGCACCAACTAACGCTGAAGACAGTGGAATAGGATATACTCTTTCTTTACAGTAGCCATACAATAAAATTTTGGCCATAGCTTTCTACTGATGCTTTTAATAATCGTGACGGACTACTGGGACCTTGGTAGATACTTCAACGGTCAGAAACTGATAGAAAGGTGCCAAAACTCAGTTAGAACTTCCCGAGCGATACCCCTTCCCTCACCTTCCTGTATAACACCGCGCGCATCAATAACTTTGAAAAAATATTAAAACTTCTAATATCGTTGGATCCCAATGACGCTGTTATCATGTCCTTTAGTAAGGTGGAGCGGTTAATCACTAGATCTTACCCATCGAATCGGTTTTCAGGCATAGGCACTTGGGCTGATTGCACAATAACTTCTGCCTCTGGTTCTGTTTCCATTAACAGGGTTTCAGTAACACCTGGAACACAATCATCATGCAATTCTCCTATGTAAATAAAAAGAGAAGAAAAAATCAGAAAAATACATATGACAATTTTTTTACTTCACCTTCAGACTGTTCATGATCAATTTAGACGAACCTAATCGGGAATGTATCAGTCTGAAAGAAGTCATCTCCCTTTGGGTTAGCTTCAAGACTTACTTCTATTAAATTAGGTAAGGCATGCTCAGCTTGAACCACATTAATGTTGAAAAGACTAGCTTGAAAAGGATGATTTTGGACTTGACTGGCTAGAAAAGGATCCGTTTCAAAAGAGTTTGCTTGAACAGGGCTAGCTTCCACAGCATTGTCTCGCACAAGTATTTCAGCATCATCATCCAAATTATTTGCAACTAAATTTGAAAGAAAGAAACAGGAATGGTCCCAAAATAACTGAGAATTGTCTAAAACAGTATGTATGCAATTATACCTTGTATAAATTTACTCTACTGTATCGTCGCCCAAGTTCTTCTTTACATTTTTCCAGAGTGAAACCACTTCGACTCATTAAGATCTCGAAGATGCTTATTGTGGGCAAGCTGCTTACTGACTTCAACATTTTTTCACTGCAATCGATGAATCAGATTTTCAGACTTCGGCAGAAAGCAGTGAAGATTTTTCTTACTATCAGCCTTTTGCCACTTATTCGATTATTTCAATGTTTATCAGAAATGCAATAGTATATTCTGGAATGCAATTCTAATAGTAATAATAGTATATCTGGAATGCAATTACAGTACAAGCATACAAGAATATTCAGGGAGCAAAATTGAAGAAAAATTTGGAGCTCCACAATTTTTAATCCGCTGACTTGATTACCAGTATCCTGATATTCAGCGGATTAAAAATTATATGGCAACAATTTCAATGGACCACCATATGAAAATAACTTCTAATTATTTTAACCATGTAGATAAAGCTTTTTACAGAAATTCAGTGATATGGTGATTCACAGATATTCAGACAACTGATATTAATACAAGATCGAGGCTTATATACAGCCCATACAAATGTCAGTACGTTCATCACAAAATATTTCTTTTACAAATATCACGGTTGTTCAAAGCTAGCTAGGTTAGGGCTAACCCTAGGTTAGATTTTTCCCGACTGTTTTGGTTTATATGTTTCTGCTGTTTGTCTTAATTCTTCTATTCACCCACACAATATTTATGAAAAAACATGTTCAACTTCATAAGCAAATGATAAAAAAATGATGTAAAAATTTGAGTTAACGTAAGCGGCTTTTGAACAACTGGCCCCAGATTGCCAACGCACATAGGTTGCCGACCTTTACAGAAAGCTCCTTGGGTCATATTGATAACATCTTAATAACAGGGAATTCTTATGCATATATGAGGTGTAAGTTTTTCAATTGGAAAAAATAGTTATTGTCCTATGTTATTCAAATCTTATAAAATAAAAATGGTATAATTATCATTAGGATGGCCAGGATCGTTCAAGTTGTTAAAGGCAAACTAATAAAAATTTATTGATCATGTTTTAATTCGTCTTAATAATTATATCAATATTAATTATAATGACGAGTGACATCACGACGAAGAAGCTTATCTTTGAAAATACCTGCAGAAAGATTAATTATTTCCTTTCGCAATTACTGCGAAAGAAAAAAAACTGTGTTTAAGTCCGTTGTGATTGGCGTTTAGGCAAGTAAGCTCCCTAAAAAAGATTATCTTAGATAGTACACACCAAGAAAATAAAGTCTTGATTGAGATTTGAGACGCAAAAAGCTTGATAAAAAGGATGATCATAAATTGATTACGCTGCTAAAATTCCATCTGATTTCTTATCTTAGTAATTAACAACCAAAGCACCAGGCATGACAGTTAATGTACACCACAAATTCTTAACTTTTATCAACATCAATATCCGGCTCCGCAAACGTTAATTCTGATGTCGCTAATAATAATGTTGCGAATGAAAACTTTTATGTTCATGATATTTGAATTTTGGCAAAAATAAAACGCGTTATCCATTATCCAATTAACGTTCATGACAACCTCGTTCCTCGAGCCCGCAATTCCTCTGGCGAGAAAACAAAGCCTCTGAGATAATCCAAACCGGGGGCTGAAATCGTGGCTTCCGGTTTGTAACGGTTTTTTTGTATTTCCAAATTGAAACGGCGTGAAGGACCAATCAGAACATGATGCCCGCTAAGCATTAAACTCGCATTGCTTGAGTCGAGAGCTAGGGCTATGACAAAAAAGACGCGTACTCAGGCGTGTGTTTGGGCTTGCCATAGTTGTTCAGCTATGCAACGGAACGGGCGTGAAAACTCGTGAGAACTAGTGAGAATTCGTGAGATTGATCTGAGATTGTATTCAGTTTGATCAGGGAATTCATAGCGATATGAAGCAACTTTGGTTCAACATGAAGTTGAAAAGCATGAGAGCAACAGAACACCCCGTTTCGAAAACGCTCGGCATCTTTTAGTGTAGGCTACTGTGCTCGGCGTGTGCAGTTGTATGTAAGGTGAGCGTTAAGATAAATATGGCACTTGGAAGCCACATTTCGAAATGTCTTGAATTTTTATCGTCTTTTGTTTACAAGAAAACGA